GCCTGTGACCCGCTGTGCTGCAGGAATGGGTGGTGAGACCGGAGCAGCTCCGCTGGGGTGCACAGTAACTGCGGGTACTCCCCATGTGTCCGGCACCATCCGGCCCGGCATCATGCCCAGACCCATTTCTGTCCATAGCTTACGCTGTTGGTGGGGCTGAGAACTGCCAAGGGCAAACACTGACGGATGTGAGCAGTGGAGCAGAATGTGGAATGTCGCCATGGTGTGGAGGGAAGGAAGGTGGTGGGCTTCATTCATAGTCTTCGCAGACAGCTGGCTGCTGGGAACGCAGTTACTAAGTCAGGTCTGCTGAGGGGAAAAATGAAGATGTACTCTCCTGGTAAATGCACAGGGAGAATGGGCACTTTCAGACAGTCTGTATTCAATTCCTATTAAAATAATCTTTTCCCCCCTGCTTTTTTTGCCTTTTTTTCCCACCCCCCCTTGTATTCCCCCCGCTCCCAGTTGATTCAAGTCCTCTCTACGCATGACCCTTATGCCAGAAGGTGATTTGAGGAACTACTTTTGCCTTCATATACATAAATACAAAATGGCTAATTAGGTGTCAAGTAAAAAGCACTGCTGTTTTATATCCAATGGAAAATTTCTGCCTAATTGCTCTGAGCATCACCTGCTCTAATTGTAACTGGCTGGAGAAGGATTGCAGAGCTGTTACTCTGCAATGTTTACTTCATCCTGGCTTCAGGGAGCATTCCTTTAAGACATGATTATTGAAGCAGAGAATGGATAAGACGGGAGAAAAGCAATCGCTCTGAGTTTTAATATTGCACCAGGCGGTAACATCCAAGCACTCGAGTGCTTTACGACAGCACCTGGCCTTGTGGTTTGTCTCTTCTTGTGCCTGTGTCTCAGGCAGAGTGAGTTGCAGAAGTGTTGACCAGTACAGAATGCGAGAGGGCTGAGCAGTCCAGGATGGCATCAGCATCAGTCGGTCTACGGGCTTGTATTTGGAAATCCAAGCCTGTAGTCAGCCCTGCTGAGAAGAGCTCAGTTCATATGTTTCATAAATCAACCTGTTGTTTTCCCTTGTAAATAAGTGCCAGGAGGCTGAAAATCCTGCACCTCTCCCCAACCTTAAAAAAAGTAAGGAGAAGTTTTCCCCACAGTTGTGTTTGAAATTCATGAGTGCTGATGGCATTCCTTAAGGAACAAGAGCTCTTCATCACATGGAGGCAGAGAGTAGTACAGAATGGGATCTGGAGAGTTAAGTGTCCAGTTGGAAAATGAGAATTGGCTCGGAAGAGGCAATACAAAGCAAAACACATGTGCAAGTTTCCCAAGTGAAAGCGCTTCATGCCATGGTTGGGTCAATCCTTACGGATGACTTTATAGAAGAGATGTATTGTGTGGTCACTCTAGAGCCGTGCTTTCTTTGTCTGCCTTGAATTGTATGCAGAAGATATGGAGGATGATGTCTAACGATTCCTGATCTAACACTAACCACAACTAAGCACAAAGAGTTTTCTGACTTTGGTTTATTTCTGCTGTCTGCGCTTTCTACTATGATATACGTTAAACATTTGGGTGAGACGTTAGAACCTGAAGTTCTGCTGAGAGCAAGCTGGCCATAAATCTCTCCAGTCCTGCAGTGGACAGGTTTTGGTTTTTTCACTTGTGGAGACAAATTACAGATGTCTTGAAGAGTGCTAAGTGAACCCGAGGCACAGAGCACAGTGCTCCAGCTTCCCACTCACCTTCACAATTTCCAGCATGTTTCCAAAAAATGAGCAACTTCAGTTGAGCATGCCAACAGCAAGTCTTATTGCAAACCACTGGCCACCCCATAAACCTTCCCCAACAGAGACGTCGTTGCGTTTTGTGCAGCCGGTCTGTAGATCCTGCGCAGAGGGATGTGGCACTCGGTGCTCTTTGGGATTATCACACAGCAGCAGAGACTTGGAGCCTGCTGTGTAAAGGACAGGTGAGGTGGAGATGCAGGACGTGGAGCCAGTTCAGCTGCCGCCAAGCAGTGAAACACAGGTAGAGGAAAATCAGGACATATTTTGTCCAAATATCCCCCTGGTAGATCTGAATAATTTCCATGCACGCTGATGAGTAAATATTACTTTGGGAAATACTCTTGGCTCACTGAGCTCGAGAATGGGCTCAGGAGGGCCCTGAAAATCCTCGCAAAAGACACAGGAATGCAATAAAACTGTAAGGGGAAAAAAACCCAAGCAGATTTTATTTGAAGTATTTTGTAAAGATCTGCTTTTTTCAGGAGAAAACCAATCAATTTTACAGTGGAGAAACGTGAAATAAATGCTAGGCTGCAATCACAGCAATAGATACTCTTTTCTGCCTCTCACTGCTCCCTTTAATAGAGGTACATTGTCAGTTAAAGGCTTGCTGGGCTGTAACTGAGTGGAACGGGCTCATGAAATAATATATTATTGCCCCTGCCCAGCAGCCATGTTCAGATTTCAGATGTGCAGGATAAGAATTAGTCACCTGTTGGTTTCAGGGGCTAACAGAGTAATTAGGAAATTGTAAATATGAAGGGAAAGTGTAGGAGCCTAGTTTTGAGCTCATCATAGTTAATGTGGTATCTGGATAATTAAGAGCTGGCTATAGAATTTCCATATGCTTTTATGTAAGTTGTGGTATCTTTACTGAGTAGTTCTGTGAAAGTTTATCACTCGTCATTTGTTATTCAAGAAGTATTTTGCATGTGTTGTTGGAAGTGTCACGTGGCAGCAGACATTACATCTTTGGGTTTTTTTTTCCTTCTGGTGAAGTATCTTCTGCCAATGAGCTGTAAGATTCTAAAAATTTAAGGAGCAGACCCTGGATTTGTGGTGTGTACACTATATATTCATCTTTCCTAAAGAACTGCGGACAGAATCAGCACTGTGCTACTCCGGCTTTGTGCAGACTTTGTGAGTTCTGCCGCATCCTTGCCAGCATCCAGCTGAAGTAACACTGAACGTGGAGTCGGATGGTTTTATTTTCAAGCCCCTCTTAGTAAAGGGTTGCAGCAGAAGTGAGAGCTGATTATGCAGTTCAGGAAACTGGGTGCAGTCAACTTGGAGGCTGACAGAGAAAAATAGGATCGTATAGATAAGATTTTAATTAAAAAAAACCCAACAAAAACCCCCCAAAAACCCAAACCAGAATAATATTCCTATCTGAGGATAATCCCAAAATAACAATGTGATATTTTATTCCAAAAAACGTTCTGTCCAGCCAGGGTTAAGTGTATTTTGCAGGCAGAGAACATAATACATTTACAGCATTTTATGCTTTAATGAAACTTATGTGATTTTTTAAAGTTCATTAATTTTGATAATGTTTGAATGAAAAACTGAGTGAGGCAAAACCACGTGTATTATTTTGTTTCTTTCCACTTTCCTGTTTTCATCCTGCAAGAACCAAATGTGTTTGTTTTACTGGCAATATTAAGGCAATCATATGATTTTGAGTAAGTCTTTGGGGATTGTTTGCAAGTTTTGCTCTTCTGCATGTCTGCTTCCTCCCAGCTGGGGGCTGGCTGCTGTACGGAAAGGCCAACCACGTCACGGAAAAGCCCTGTCTCTGATCAGATGGGCTTAATATAAACCAGGTTTGCAGAGAAAGAATTAAAGGGGCAGCCCCAAAGCAGGAGAGGATTTACTCCGGCTGAGCAGCTCAGAGTACCACAGCCCACCGTGGGAGAAGGGCAGCGCGAGCGAAGGACCCGGCTGCCTGGAGGAGCCTGGCAGAAGTAAGGCAGCGTTGGTTCGGACACAGCCTTTTACACTCGGTGCGAGACACCCAGACAGCTAAATGCGGTGTGGGGTATCACAAACGGCTTGAACCTGGGACGCGGTGTGTGACAGGGAGTCGTTTGGCTTTGTTTAATGAAGGATGGTGATTTGTTAGGGGTGAAGTCATGAAGTGTTCATGTTTGGGAGCGTTGAGTGAGTGACTGTTTGTGACAGGTTGTGAGTTAGGCTCTGTTGTTTGAGTTGGAGCTGGCTTCTGGTCTTTCCAATGGGGAAACTGCAAGGAAAAACAGTATTTTAATATTCAACCCTAGTAAATATTTAATTTTGTTTGTGAAGCAGCCTGTGCTTGGTGCGTGATTTCTAGTTTAGACGTATTCCTTGCTGACAAAGTCACTGTGGCTGGGACTATGCAAACGATCTCGTTTTATCACTAAGTACCGCACCTCACAGAGGATGTATTGCGTAGGTGGGAGCAAGTTCAGATCGAGTGTGCGTATATGCTGTGCCCTGCTGTGGGTTTATTCCAAAAAGTTTAACGCAGTTTTGTGAGAAGAGGATCAGTGACTCGTACGTGGCTTCTTGTTGCGTTGCTGTACTTTTTTTCACTCGTCACTTATTATTGAGGCTTGAAGGCAGTCGGGTACATTTTATGGACAGTTATCCTATTTGTTAATATGAAGAAGAAAGCTGAGAAACTTCAGTTATATGGCGAAAAACAAAATGTCTAAATAACTGTCACATTGGGCACTGGAATGCATCAAAGTAACTTTCCTAAATTGGTAGCTGTTGGCCCGTGAGAATGACATCACTGTCCTCTGCCTCCAAGCAAGGCAAAAGGAGTTGGCTGAGTAAAATGTGATTAAGAGCCATGCTTAGATAGGAAGAGCAAACCTATCTAGCTGCTTGTGCAGTAGATGAAGTTGCTAATTTAATGTCTGTATGTTTCTGAGCTTCTCCTCTCAGCACTACTTCCTGAAGGGGCTAGAATCTATACCTCCTCAGAAAAGCAGCTGTGTCCTCCCTCTTACCAGCCCAAAAGTCACTGAAGCAGAGTAATTTTTTGTTTACCCGGCCACAGAAAAAACTAGAAGTATTTCTCATTAACTAGAAATATTTCTTTGTGCACCAGCAACTACGAAAGAGTGCAGAAAGCCTCTTTTTGCTTTTGTTGTATACTAGACTCCTATAGAAGAGCAGGACGTGCAGCCTTGAAGTTAGTAAGAGGGTGTTCATGCATTTCTAAATGTTGTGTGTGTAACGCTCGTGATTTCCCTGTTTCTCACTAGGAGTAAAAAATGACCCTCAACAACGTTACCATGCGTCGCACCCACAACAGCAGCCTGCAGCAGCAGCAGCAGCGGTGGAGCATCCCTGCTGATGGAAAGAATCTGCTGGTCCAGAAAGACTCCAACGAGTACAACCCGCAGAAGCGATACACCATCAGTCCTGATGAATACTACAGAAGGAGCTGGTCCTCAGAGTCGTCTGACTCCGTCATCTCCTCTGAGTCCGGCAGCAATTGCTACCGGGTGGTGCTGATTGGGGAGCACGGCGTAGGCAAGTCCTCGCTAGCCAACATCTTTGCAGGGGTGCACGACAGCATCGACAGCGACTGTGAAGTGCTGGGAGGTAGGTGTTTGTGTTTGTCCTGGGGTGTTTGTGCTTGCTTGCAATCAGCCCTGTTAGTAGTAAGTGGCATGGAAAAGCAGGGAGGCCGTTTAATCAAAAATTGAGGTAACAAATATTTAGATCTGGTCATCAAAACTGACTCAACACATGCATCTCTCTTAAGAAAGCAAAGAAGCAAAATAAGATGAGTAAGATACTCACCAAAGATGATTGAAAGTCTCTGAAAGAGAACAATTCAGATTCACATGCTATTTCATCTCAAACTACCTGTTGGAAGCTGCCTTATTCCTGCCTGTGAGGATGTGACACAGGAGGCTGGTTCAACTCTCATGCTGGTCCCACATTTGTGTCCCTGCTGCCTCCATGGGGCTGACTCCAGCTTTCTGGGGAGAAGAAACAACAGAAGGTCCTTCTCTACTAGAATGAAATGCTTAGAAACCATATATAAAGAAAAAGCCCTTGCTGAGTCCTTCAATCACCTCCCAAATATTCGCTATTAGAAGTCATCTCAGCTGCTCTGTATAAACACATTACCTCAGGGTAGGCTGGATGGAGTCTGGGTGAAATCTATCTCCTCCTCACTTCGTGTTACTTGCACAGCATAGTTTCACCTGCGGGAAAACCAAAGGTCCTGCAGGAGTGCAGGAAAATTCCTGTTGCCTAAACAGGGGGAACCCTCCAAGCTGGAAGGTTTTTTTCGATGCTTCCCCCTTACCATCCTCTGCTTTGTTCAGGGTTGCAAAGTAGTTGTTAATCCCAAAAATCAGATCATGCAGAAGGTGAAGCTATGGCACCAAGCCCTGGGCTCTGTTGTGTGTGAGATGCCGGTCTGGAAGTGGTGTGCTGCAACAGAGATCCGCTGTGGCTGTAAGGAGGCAGATGCTTCCCCTTCGCAGGATGTGCAGGTCTCTGGGTGGTTTTGCTCGACAGGACTCCTCGTCTCTCCCATATCCCTCCCCTCTCCTGCCTTTCCTCCCTCGGTGTGATGGTGCCAGTGCTGGCACAGAGACTTTCTGGGCTTCTCTTCCAGTCCTCAGGGAAACAGGCAGGACAGTGCTTCATGTCTTTACCTCTCCAGTTAGGAGAGGTTTTTCCTAGGATTTCATACAACCCAGCATCAGGAGGGATAGATCCACGCTCTCCTCGCTTGCTGTTACAGGCTGGGGGCAAACATCTTTGTGCCTTTGGGGGATTTCAAACTCGCCATGGTGCAGTCACTCTGAATCAGTTATTCAAGTGTGCTTTGTCTTCAGGTTCTACCACTAACTTTTCCTGTAACTCCAACAGCTCCTCAGCCTGGAGTATCCCTGATAAAAAGTTTCCTAGTGCTACACCAGTGGACTAGAGTAGGACCCTTGCACAAGCAGTCAGAAGACGCAGCTGAATTGCTTTGCACACCCCTGTCAGATGGTTTTCTTCTCCTCCATGCAAAGCCGTATGGTTTCTTCTCTCATTCGCATTCCCAGCAATACTGCTTGGAGTGCAGCAGTGACAGGTTTACAAGGCCAGCTCTGCTGAGGTATTGGAAAACTTGTTGTTGTATCTCTCCTTTTTTAGGGTCAGCCCTGAAATAAGAATAAGACAAACTAAATGCTCACTTTGAGTGCGTTTTACATCCTATGGAATTTCCTTAGGATTGACCAAGGTGCAAATCAGTGCTGAATATGACCATTTGGGCATGATGTTTTTGAGGAGAGTGAGTACGTTTGTAACCTCTCCATGTATAACAGAGAGGAGAAGCAGTCCTCTGGATGTTGTCCTCTGATGTCTAAGGAGCTCGTTCCTGTGCTTGCTCTGTTGAAGAAACTCTTCTCCAACCTTTAGCTTGCAGACTGCAAGTTTTATGATGAGAGGATGGTTTCAGGGTAGCCAGCTCACGGAGGGAATAGAGCTGCTTTTATGGGTTGTCTCTGCTGCTCACTGTAAGATTAACCCAATTCATGAACACACGTGTCATGATGTTTGGCTTGCAAAGGAAAATGCCTCTCTTGATTTGCTTTGCCTTTTTCATCTTGCCATTTTAAGCTGCGTCAAACCTGTCATCTTTTTAAATTTTACTTTAAATGCGTAATATTTTGGTCTTATTCTTTTGCATGGGTGTAGATTCCTGACTTCGAGGAAAGGCTCTGATTACAATTTAGGGAAAATTCACTCCACTAATGCCCAGCAAAAGTTTTACAAGGCAAGGGTTAAGACACAGTCCTATCTGCAAGTGTGGTTGGGACAGACCCCTCAAACACTGCAGTGAGAGGGGTGGTTTGCTCAGAAGCCCAAAGCCCAGCATTTTCCACTGATCAGCAGTGCAAGAGTAGAGATGGGTCCAAACCCCATATTGCTCATCCAAACGTCCTCATGTCTGGGAGAAAGAAGGAAGATTAATATTTGAAGCAGAAGCTAGACTGAGATTTCACAGCAAGGTTTGATCGAACTTAGGAGCTCCCCAGATCTAAGCAGAACTTTGTCACAGTTTTATAATCTTGGTATGAATTTTTGGGGCCTCAGTGCAAAATAACTGAGCTTTTGTGGTTTGTTGATTCCTTTGCTTTTTGGCATCAAAGGTAATGTGGGAAACTGTGGAATGGGAGAGAACTAGAACACAGCAGAAGTCTCAGCCTCTCTAGAACTCAACAGCTCCTGTCCCACAAAGCCCTGTCCTCATTGCTTGGTTGGCTCTTAGCTGTATTGCTCTCAGCAGCGGTGGCTGTTCACCCGTAAACTGTCCCTGCTAAAGTGAAAGCAAATATTTTCCATTACTCAGCCTCGCTGGACTCTGCTGCTCCCAAGGGGCAAATGTTCAGCCTTTGGTTATTTCTTCCACTGGTTCTATTTTCTCTCTCCCACATAAGATAAAGAGAATATCAGCCAAAATAATGAACATTTTGTTTCCTGATCTTTCGGCCTCCTTCATATATCATGGAAAGTCAGACAACCAGTAATGAACAGAGGGCAGGTTCAGTGCTGATGGAAATGAGGAAAGAACTGAATGTGAGCCAGCATAAAATTTGGCTCAATAACTTAAACTGTGAACAAATGGTGTATTTTTAACTATTTGTTTTTTGTAATGTACATGATGCCACAAAATAATATATTACCCACCTTTCTGATTTTCTTTTCAGAAGACACGTATGAAAGAACCCTGATGGTGGATGGGGAAAGTGCAACCATTATACTGCTCGACATGTGGGTTAATAAGGTACTTTAAATTGCTCTAGTCAAATGCTAAAAGAAAAGTGCATATGAATGAAAGCTAGTATCAAAAGCAGGCATCTTTTAGGAAAGAAAGTAGGCGTTTCCCATGCTACAACATTAGGGAAAATATGGGATTAACCCCACCCCCACACCAAGCACGCCTAACAGCTCTGCTGTGTGAGCCTGAGAAGCGCAAGCCTTCTTTATTTTTTTAATGATAAACCAAAACATTCAAGCCATTTTCCAGACCATGTTCATTCCAGACTAAAGACAGCACAATGAATTATTTGGGGCAAGTTTTGCCCTCCTTCGTGGTGAAGTATTCATATCATCACCACATTGGAATTACTTTTAGTATAACTGTGATTCAAACCGTACCCATTACAGTTACAGCCGGAAGGTATTTGAATTCTCTAATGTTATACTTGCTAAGTGAAATCTGCTCTGGGAATAACAATGTCTGACCATTTCATTTGAACAGCATGAGGGAGGATGGATTCGAGACCACTGCATGCAAGTGGGAGATGCGTACCTGATTGTGTACTCCATCACAGACCGGGCAAGCTTTGAGAAGGCCTCCGAACTCAGAATACAGCTCCGCAGGGCACGCCAGAAAGAAGACATCCCCATTATTTTGGTTGGCAACAAAAGTGACCTCGTCAGGTGCCGTGAAGTCTCGGTGGCAGGTAAAGAAAACGATCAGGACAAAAATGACGTGAACATTAGGAGTCATCTAGTAGCTTTTGGACAAAGGCAGAGCTCTGGCTGAGGGGGTGTGCTGTGACCAGGACTGGGCAATAACAGAGCAATAAAACAGCAGAGGACTGGGAGGGGTCTGCCAAGTCCTTAAGCCTCCCTTAGTAATGCTGTTACATGTCAGATAATCCCTTTCCTAAATTTGTTAAGTACCATCACAAAAGCAGATTGAATTTCTTCCCCTCCAGCTCCTAGTGTAAGACCACTGCCGTATGTGATATCTTTGGTACCTGGAAACCCTTTGGGCTTCCAATATGTGCTCATGAATAACAAGTTTAGCCTCCTTTGGCCTGCTGCCCAAGATTATCTCTTCATGGAACCAGTCCTCTTCCAGAGGAGATCATCTTGCTGCCTTGCTTTGGGATGCTTTGGGATACCTCAGTGGTGCATACAAAAGGATAACCAACTCTCCCAAAGCCTGGGGAACCCTAATCCCATGAATAGGAATAGACAGACTGCTGGGAAAGCTGCTGCTGGCTCCCAGTGTCTGCAGTCAGTAATATCCCTTCTTGGAGAATCTTCCCTGAGGCTTAGGTGACAAAACATAACACACAGGAATGTAATAGATGATCTCATCTCCGCCCATCAGAAACATGGGTTCCTCCGCTCGGCTTTTTCTTCTCTCTACCACTGTTCAGCTCTTCTATTTTCCAGTTGAGTTAGACGTGTTTTTTCCACTGGGTATGTGCACAGTTCCTCTGGCTCCCGCCACAGTTGCCCCAAGTGAAGCGTTTGAACTGAGGTAGCTCGTCAGGATCCCAGGGATGCCTCTTTACCTTCTCATGCCTCTCTGCCCCACTTGACAAACCTTTTGAAAGATGTCAGGTGCATTTAAGTCACTTTAGTCATCCTGGCGAGGAGTTCACAGCACTCCAGAGGACAGAATAAATTGGCTTGCGTGTGGAAGGCAGCTGTCACGTTCAGCTTCGGTTTGCGTAATTAAGAATTATGATTTCAGATACACCTCCAAAGCCATAGGCACGGCTCTGCCTTTGTTTAAGGCATGTGTGCATTTGTCTGTTCACACCGAATCTGCTACTGTCCCAAGACCCTGGTTTATACGGCCCATGGAGGAGACTGGGCTCTGCCGCCTACGGTGACGAGAGCTGTGCTGTGTGCAAGGAGGGTGCTGTCATCACCCCTTCATGCGACTTGAGAGTCTGCACGTAAGATGACCAGGTGTTTTTGAGTCATCGCTGACCTCTCAGCCTTTGAGTTGGTCAGACCCAGCTCCCTGCACAGCCGATGGCAGAGACTAGGCTTTTCCAGAAGGGGATTCACCCCCCTGGCTGGGAAGGGAGTGTGACACAGAGCAGATGAATCACGGGTTAGCAGGCAGCATCGGGTGATTAAGGACTTATCCGTGCCTATATTAGGCTTGAGGAATTCCCCCGGTGGGGCTGGCTCTCCGCATGTGGCAGCCTGCGGCTGCTTTGCCTCCCTCTGGCTCATAGCGCCTCGTGACATATCCACCTTGCGATTTTGCAGAGGGACGAGCCTGCGCCGTCGTGTTCGACTGCAAGTTCATCGAGACCTCGGCAGCCGTGCAGCACAACGTAAAAGAGCTCTTTGAAGGCATCGTGCGGCAAGTCCGGCTCCGGAGGGACAGCAAGGAAAAGAACGAGAAGCGGCTAGCGTACCAGAAACGGAGAGAGAGCATCCCCAAGAAAGCCAGGCGGTTTTGGGGCAAAATAGTTGCCAAGAACAACAAGAACATGGCCTTCAAACTGAAGTCCAAGTCTTGCCATGACCTATCAGTACTTTAAGAACGCTGGACTCTGCCCGAGTGTGTGGCATTTTGTGGACATTACCTAACTATGTCGTGGGACAATCAATCAATCTATATTAGATTGGGCTATCAAAGTGACTTAGGTTCACGGTTGTGATTGTGATGATGCGTGCTGGCATAAGAACAGCACAATGCATGGAAATATCTCTCTTCCTTTTTTTTTTTTTTTCTTTTGGTCTGTAGTTTTAAAAGAAAAGTATAAACCAGAAATGATCCAAAGTTCTGCTGGGAAGCGTTCTGGAATATACCTGTTCCTTCTCCTCTCACCTTTGGATAATAGTGTAAGAACCTCGAACCACCATGGCTTGGGAAGTGAATACTACGTTCTTTATTTATCTCCTCATTATTATTCTTTCTTTTTGTTTTTTTTTAAACTGTGTAAAGAATTGAGGAACTGACTGGAGATTGGTCCTTTGCCAGTTTGGCCAGTCAGGCTTGAGCACCCACAGCTGCAAAACCTGCATTTTTGTAGAATAGCCACCAAGACACTTGTTTGGGGTTTTTTGTTTTGTTTTGTTGGGTTTTTTTAAATTTTTATGTCAAGGATGGTTTTCAATCAGTTTATGTGTCTCTTACTTTGAAAATATTTAAAGGAAAAATCCTGTAATCAAACAAACCTTCCTCTCATATTTTCATATTATGGGACTGTTTAAAAACCATAGTAAAATTAAAGTGCAAGTTGTATCAAAGTGCATCAAGTGCAGGATGCCAAACCTTTATAAACCACCTGAGCTTTTATAAGAAACCACATGGACTTGTATTCAGCCTTGGCCTTTCTCTATGCCAGAGCTATGCTGTATTTATTGTTGTGCAAAATAACAACCATTTTAATGTCGAGGGGAAATGTATTTATTACCAAGTTTCTTAAAAGAATAATGTTAATTTTATTACTGTTTTCTAATATCTTTTTTTTTTCAGATATGCAAGTTTTTACTTACATGCCTTGTAATAAAATAAATAAAATGTATGACTGACTTTGAGCCTCAGTGGGAAATCCCTAAGAATCTTTTCAAGCTGAAAAAATATTTTGAATGCTGGGCAAGATTGCTACATGACAAGTACAGCGAGGATTCCTTTAGTCTCTAAACACAGGCAACTTAGCAACCTAGGATCACAAAGCAGGAATCACCCACAGCCCCAAAGTGCATCGTATACCCCTCATGTGCAAAGGGGTTGTGGTGACAGTGATAAAAACAAATCATTCCTGAAAAGCTTATTTGGCCTTAAGCCTGAAAACACTTTAGAAATGTAAATGAGTACTGTTACCCCAATTTTGGAGACAAAAAGAAGTGAAATGCTGCATTCAGGGACAGAAAGGGGGTGGCTGGTATGATGTTCCCTAATCCTAAATTACCATGGGGCATAATTGTCTTATTTTCCTCCTGACTACACTGGGTTTTATGGGCACACTGCAGAGTTCAAGGTAGAGGTGCAGTCATTATATTTTGTCTGCAGATGGCTCAGAGAAGCCAAATCTCCATCCTGGCAGCCCATCTTCCTTGATTATGAAGACAACAGAATGTGACGCTAATAAGGTGAAAATTGGGTTCCTCATCTTGGGCTGTGCAGCTCTCGGGCACCAAATGCTCGGGATGAGAGTGAGCATGTGGAATGTTTGCCCAAAATTACCTCTGCTGAGAGGATGAATTTTAGCAGTTCTCTAGGGGTAAAATATCATGTTGTAGGATGACTCTGCCGCCTGTGAGGCATTCAGATCTCTCTGGAAGGGGATTCCTGATTTAGAATAAATTGTTGGCAAGAACAGAAAACAGCATTTTGAACAGAGCACAGGCAAGATGCCTATCGCTGGATTTTGAATGAATGCCTTTGAGTTGTCAGCATGCAAATTTAGGTCAACCCAGAGCAGTCTGATACTCACTCCAGTGTGTATCACTCCAGTGAATGATACTCACTCCAGTACCAATTTTCAGAACTTTTAAACTCTCAGAACCTTTTCTCCATTCAAGAATGGAAACAAAATCACACAGACTAAACAATCTTTTAAGGTTATTTTTAAGAACTGAAAGTATAGCTGAGCACGGCCAGCACATGTCCTTAGTCTGTTCTATATCTGCCAAGCTACGGACCCGATAAACCTAAACCAAGCAGGTTTTGAAGAAATATAAAATGTCCATGTTGATCATACAGCCTTTAGGGATGAAAGCCATCCATGCTCACAGCATCACTGGATGCATAGACAATATCATAAATATTTGGAGTTACCTACTAAATTTTCATGCCCTCACTCATCTCCTTTCATGCCTTCCCAGGATTACAAAATTTCCTTCTAAAACATATTTTTTATGGAGAAGAACCAATGGTAGGCCCATTCTGGAGAGCTGCCGCAGGCTACTACGAAGAGCTGTACGTTGGTCCTGCACAGCGTGCCCTGTCACGTTGTTTTTCCCATGGCTGGGGGGTACAGACGCCACTGGAAGTCTGTCTTCTGGGGCTGCTGCTGGACCAGGGCTGGTCCCCCTGGATAGCACAGCGCTTGTCTTTGGAGCGAAACAATTTAAGTAGCTGCCTCCTCCTTGCATGTCCCAGTCCCTCTGGGTTCACCCTGCAGGCCTCTGGCTCTCCCTGAGGGCCCACACTCTGCACGTTTCAGGATTTTTCTTGCTTTGGACTGGGTCTAGCCTGGTCCCATGGACCGAATGCCCAGCTGGTCCTGCAGTGCCTGAGTTGCACTCCTGAAGGGCATTGTGAGTTTAACCTGGAAGGGACCCCGGTCATCTGCTGCGCATGGCATGGCTCCAGAGAGCTGTGGGCACAAAGGAAGGGCCAGGGCTTTCTTCTGCAGCTTATAAGATGAATCTGAGTCATGGGTTTAGCTGATCGTCACCAGATTATCAAATACAGAAATGCTTTCTATATATAATGGCTAGCGTGCCTGGAGTGACTAATTAATACTAATTTAATCTGGAATGCTGACATTTCAAACCCTTAATATCCACAATCCTTATGCTCATCTCAGATGTGAGCGTTCCAAACCATGGTACGGATCAATCAGCGATTCTAATCACTGCTCCGGCTATTTATTAAATCAGGGCTACAATGACAGATCCTAACGTGGTAATTACAGTGTCGGCCTCAGAGATCTGGCAGTAGCTGTGGAATACGTGAGTCACAGCAGTGAGCGCACCAAGGCCGAAATGGCAAAACTCACAGAGTCCAAACAAAATAAAATAAATACAGGGGGAATAAAAAAGTCTAAGAACACGCAAAATTCCAATTATAGTGTAATAGCTGATATAAAAGGCTTTTTTAAGGAAGATAGATCCCATCAGCAAGAGAAATTAGGGAGCATGCCCAGCTTTAATTAATGTAATCATGGCAGATTAACTGCACGAAGAAAGGTTTACTTATGCTGTGGGACAAAACGACACTGAGAAATTATTCATTGTTATGGTACTTTGTGGATTTGCAGAGTGCTATGTGTGTTCAGATTTGGGAGATTTATTGATAAAATTTATTCAAGTAAAAGAAAGACATTTTCAATAAAATCAAAGGACAAGGATTTATCCCACACATATACAGATCTTTCAACATCAACCCCTTGGAAAGCTTAAAGACAACGGACTGGTGTTACGTTTTTGGACTGCTTTGGAGTATAGACATAAATGGGAGAAAGGACTCCTGACAGCAGCAGGTCCTGGTGATGATGATGTGACCTAGAGGGTTGCAGCAGGGGAAGAAAGCAGTCGATTTCTCTGCAGTATTGCCTCTATGAGCAGCTGGAGAAGGGGCGAGGTGTTAACTACTAATGGTGTTTAAAAATTCTGGAATTTCCACAAGCAAACCCTGCAACCCGTTCCTCGCAATGTGGTTTCTTGGTGTTTGTCCACTCATAGAACCCATGCAAGGCTAAGGGTGTGGTAACACCCAAGGTACAGGTGGCATCCTGTGTCAAGATTATGTTAAATGTCACATTGATGGTCATATCCCACCAGAACTTTAAAATGTGGCAGGCTCCATGGGAGGTTCATATAGGGACTTCTAGGTCTCTAACTAGCCCCCCACAGTTAAAAAAGGGGACACAACTGTATTGTGCTCCTGAAAGGCTGTGGAGAAGCCATGCTCCTGCTGTTGCTTCCAGAAGAGATCGTGGGCCAGTGACCTGCAGGTGTAGGGACCTAACATTGCACGGCTGCGGAGATTAGTGGGAGTCTCAGCAACTGCCATGACCAGGGAATGGGTGATGTTCTGTTACAACCCCCCCACCTGCCCCCTCCTCATGGTGCTCCCACTCCAGAAACCTCCTGCAGGTGCTGGGGCGAGCAGGACCTCCTCTCTCAGTGCCCACCCCACACAGGGGCTGATGATACTTCTGCATTTCATAGAACAGAACTGCAGAATCTTTTAGGTTGGAAAAGATCTTTAAGAACATAAAGTCCAACTGTTAAGCTAACACTGCCAAGTCCACCACTAAACCATGGCCTGTTTGTTCTCAGTGATCACATAGGTAAGATCACCAAAGGCTTTTTGCCCAGAGACACTGAAATTCAGTTTATTAATTACTCATGATTTTAGCAATTTTGCAGCAAGAGGATCCCTGCTGTCAGACAGTGAGAACAATGCACCCCACATGAGAGCACATTAGTCCTGTGTGGCTCGCCGTACAGTGCCAGCACTGTCTCATCACCAGGTTAATATTTTGCTAAGAAAATGATTAGAGTAACACACTTCCTCTGGGTTTTGAAACACATGCCGCAGTAGTTTTAAAATAGAATTATTTTCCAAGTGGCAGTGGTGCCTATGTATTTATGCCATCCAGGCTGAGCAGCAAATCTGTGCAAGTGGTCTGCCATCCTGAAAACATCATCTTTCAGAGCAGTGCGATGTGCAGAAAGCAGAGATTCTGTGTGTGCACTCAAAAGCCTCCAGTTACTTAGATGCAGGTTGCCCGGAGCCGAACTCTGCTCCTTGAGCCAACAGGAGAAAGGGAGGTGGAAATTTTAATGGGACAATTCAGACTATCACCTGGATACTCTGAATGATGGAGGAAGGACCTCCAGCCCTGCTGAGTTTTTCACCCATTCTCCTCAGACTCTGTGTGGTTTTCACTGAATTGCTTAATGGTTTAACTTTCACTGATATTAGAGTGGATCTCAGTAATTTTCACAGGTCCAGGATGTTATTTCTGTGTCCACCTGGAGCTTTCACTGTGTGTGTGTGTGTGTATTTCTCCTGTTCCCAGCTTTGCTCTGAAGGTGCTCAGGATGTATTTCCTCTCTAAATACTGTTGAATCACTGAGCGATGCTTAGTAGGATGTTCTCAGGCTTTGCCACCATAATAGCCTTTTAATTGCTTTTTAACTAT